ACATAGATGCACCTGACTTAGACCATAGTATTCTTTTTCAATTGCATCACATGTATGTGAGAGGTGTACACTGAATAACTGGTGTGCTTGAATTGTGGGGCTAGTGTACTGTCAAAAGGACAAACAAATCTGTCTTGGAAGAAGTATAGTCAGTGTGCTCCTTAGAGAAAAGGTTGAGTTCACATCTTACATACTTTGACATGTTGTCAGGAGAAACCTGTTCAGAGGGACAGCCCAAAAGAGCAAGGCTCAATGAAATGGATTGATACAGCAGCTGCAACAATGGGCTCAAATCTAGGAACAATTGTGAAGATGGCACAGGATGGGGCAGTGTTTTGTTCTGTTATGCCTAAAGTTGCTATGAGTAAAGTTGCTATAGTAAGTGTCCACTCGATGGCACTTACTAACAACAGTTTAAAAAATTATGCTGTGCATCCTAGTACTGTCGGGGGTTCTTAAAGCTTTCTAGTGGCCATCTAAGATTGGTCTCCACTTTCCAAGGGCAAAAGAAATTAAAGACTCAAAAAAATTAGACTTTGGGGGCAAAACAAAAGTATACATGAAACATACTCTGAGACCAAGAGATGTAAATTTTGCCCGGCTAGTGAAACTACTAACGACTTTAATCAGGATCACAATGGATGAACCTGGACAGAATAGGAGAAATGTGTGGGAGCTACACTTCAAATACTTTAAAGAAAACCTAATTTTAAAGAGCACCAAACCTACTCAACTGAAACAGATTCATTTCCTGAAACTTTTGCCCTGATATAATATCTTAAACACTAATAATCTTCAAAAGTAGTTTTTTTTCCTCTGAGTTTCCATACAGTTTCAGTGAAATTAAAAATCCGGGGGAAAAGGTTGGGGTCACTAGGAACTGTCCCGCACTCTTCAAACCTTAAAGTGAACTGAACCCCTAAAAAGTTACCTTATAGATACGTAACATATTGGCTCACAAATAACAAATATCTGTGTTCTCTTAAAAAAAAAAATCACCTATGAAACCAAACAATTTGCAATAACATTAAAGCAACGGTGAGATAGCAGTGGGGGGGTGGGGGATGGGCGACGACTATATTAACAGAATGACTAGAATGAAAATTATAATGTTCACACATCACAAATATAACCAATATCAATGAACAACTTGAGGAATGGGAACCGCAACTACTATGTAAGCCTTTATTACAAATATAAGATTAAAACAAAAACTCATGCATTGATCTGAGACAACTTCCTTCTTGAATACAGGCTATACCAATTCTGAGAATCTACTGCATACCAATTAAAGCTTTCAAGAGGAAAAATTCGACCTCAAGTGTGCAAGACACTAGAGGAATAAAAAAAACCTCATTACAGATTTAAATCATTAGTGTTCATACCCTTTTAAATGATACAGAAAGTATGTGTCATTTCATAGCTCTAACACTATTCTCCAGTTAAAGACTTTTCTAGGAAGGAAACTAGCATATATATTTATCTATCACAGAACAACAAACTGACTCCCACTGAATCAATTCTGACTCACAGCGACCCTATAGAGGACAGTGGAACTGCATGTGTGTTTCCAAGACTATGAATCAGTCCAGGAATAAAAAGACACAATAAGCACTATAAAAGGTGTTTAAGACTCTAAACAAAATAGCAAGGTAGAAGAATCTAGTTACAGAAATTACCTGACTTGATTTTCTATCTAAAATATACTTACAATAAGTCCAGCATAATCTGGTGTTTCAATAAGAGTGTCATGTAACCACACAAAATCTTCGTGTTGCCTCGTAACCGAAAATTCTGGACTCTGAAATGTGGACAGTGTTGTCTGTGAAGAAACCACAACTCTATTTAAAGCGGCTTAGGTATACTGAGTTATACTACAACAATAAATACAGTATCACAGTGAGAACCAGTAAAGAACCAAGCAGCAAAACATGATCTCTCCATGAATACTACACATATCTATAATCCTGCTTGCTCTTAAAAAATCTGTTCGTAAAGAATACATTTCATGAGACCACCTTTTGATACTTGTAACCAACCAACCAATGAAAGATGAGAAAAAGTTAGATTAAACTACAACCCAATTCTATTTTAAAAGGCTGAACAAAATGAAACATGGACCTAGTTAATGCACGGCCAAGGACCTGACATACAGCTTGAAAATTTATTGAGATCAAACCATATGCTTGTGCATCAAACTGCTTACTTTACATTAAGTGTACGCTTCAGTTACTTTAAGTAAGTGTATGCTTTCATTTCCTCACATATAAAACGGTGTAAAGCCCTAAGAAAAGTGCTTAGCATGAAAAATTTCAATAAATTTTTAGTAACTAATCTGGAAAGACAAACGGGCCAACAATGTTCTGAAGACTCATTAAGAAAATTATGGTTTTCCCCACAAAATTCAAAATCAGATTCAAAATCGCAGGGTGGGGGGAAAGAGCTCCAGCTCACAGAGAGCAGGCTGGCGATGGCGAATGTACACTACAGCACTGCACTACGTGTGCTCATCAGGAGCCTCAGAGTACAGGTTCTTTAGCAAAGCTCTAAGGTACCACCACTGAGGGGGAATGATGCCGAAACGTGTATAGGTGTTTACTACAAGGACGAGCAAGACGGGCTGCCCTTTTCTCACTCCAAGAGCAGCAGAGCCCCATGAAACAATGAGAAACTATTACAGTTGCAGGAATCTACTGTACCCCCATTCTCAAGTACACTGCAATCTAACAATACTTTGATTGAAGTCATGCTGCTACTTACCTTTGTGTGCACTGTAAATTTGACCTTATCTCTCTCACTGAGCGCATCAGGAATGTCAATCTGAAGTGAGGGATCGACATTTAGGTCCACAGACACAGCTCTAAGCTGAAATACAATTTTTAAAAATGTTAAGTCTAAAATTTTTAGCCTTAAAACACATCATTCCAAAGTGAGAGTAGTCTGAGAAAATTAGAATAAAGCCACTGTTTTGAGATGTCAGTAAGTACCTTAGCTGTAGGTAAATCTCTTCATATATGAGTTATAGTACCCTATACTACGAAAAAGAAACTGAATTATTTCAACACGTGGGTGGGGGATAATTAAAAAATATGTGGGAAAACTGAATTGAAAAATAACGGAATTTTCCCAATTACTTTTTGAAGGCCTCTCAAATACCATATAGGCCTTATTGCTACAAGAGAATTCATTCAAATGCATGAAGAACTAGAAAGAACAAAATCATGAAAGGAAGCCTTTTTTTTTTTTAACATTTTATTAGGGGCTCATACAACTGTTATCCCAATCCATACACACATCAATTGTGTAAAGCGCATTTGTACATCGTTTCTCAAAACATTTTCTCTCCACAAGGAAGCCTTCTTAAATCCAAATACTAGTGTAGTCTAACTAGTTAAGACTTTCTACCTTGTACTTTGTGCTTTTAACAATATAAATGGGACTAAACTGACAATACAAAACAACTCACTGCCATCGAGTCAATACTGATGCATAGCAAAGCCTGAAGGCAGCACAGAACTTCTGTGAAACCAGGCTTTACTAATCTTCCCCAAATAATTTTCAACATGAGCTATAAAACCACAAAAAGAAAAAACCCACAATAAATGTTAACAATGGCCCCTAACATCTCAATGTAAGTAATTTTCTTCCTAAAACAATTCTTGATGACTCCTATGAAATACTTGCTAGCTTGGCTTAATGTGCACACGTCCACTTACTTAGGAGATCTCTGCAAACAAAGATAAAATTCCAAGGTCAGGACAATTCACATGATTCTCAACTTCTAGCTCTAACACCGTGCTGATAAAAAAAACTTCCTTCCTCCTGATAGCACTAGACAAACACCGCACTCAGTAACTTCAAAATATAGCTGAAGACTGCAGACTTTGGTCCCTCGTATGAAGGGTGCTACCTCTAAACAGGAACTGAGTACAAGCAAGCCAGACCCACTGAGTTCCAGTGCAAACATGGCCATAAAAACTTGGACTTAGTGGGATGATTGTCTGCTGGCTCCCATGCCCATGGTGCTGAAATTGCTGCTGGGGCAAGAGCCAGGGCATCTGGTCACCATGGAAGGCAGGAGCAGTACCATCTTCTTTAATCTGATTCGTGGTGTGTGCCAAAACACCATACTGGCTGAGGGCCTTCACTTCAGGATCCCCATCATCTATGACACTCTGACACCTCAACCACCCCCCCGCCCCAAAATTTCCACAAGTTCAAAAAATCTACAGATGGCGACTTCAGTCTCAGTTCAACATCTTAGAACATCCCAACACATACCAGCACCTAGGGCTAGACTGAAAAAATGCTGTCATCCATCCTCAGTAAAGTGCTTAAGCATGTGGTGGATGGCCAAGTTCAATGCTTCAAGCTGATTGCCATCAGCTTCATGTGTCCCTACTGAGCTGAGGGTCAAAGACATCTGGATGGTGTAGCCACAGAGCTGAGCTTTATCTGAGAGCTCACCACTGCTAATGAAGCCAACAAGTAGCCCAGCAGGCCCAGTTCTTTTAGAAAGGGGAGTAGGAACAGCGGCAGAAGCCTGTGCGACAACGGTGAGGCTGAGGCCATCAAGATGCTTCAAGAAGCACTGGGCAAAAATCTTGGCTAAATCAAACTGTTCAGCCCAGAACATGGCCAAGACTAACACAAGGTCACATCTCAGAATCCTGTTTCACTGCTGACAACCTTGTTGTAAGCCTACTGGATAAAAGTTTCACCTGGGGAAGTGATATTGTGAGACCGAGGACCCTAGAGATAAACTGGAACCATTTCCCCCTGGGTTTCAAGGAGTCAGGGGTCCAGAATATCCCCTAGTCCATCTCAGCATCATGATGATCCCCTCTCTGTACACTTTCCTGGATTAAGAATGGCCACTGGCTTTTTTTTTTTTTTTCAAGATTACTTTCCTCCCTCATTTCCCCCAGGGGCTTTGGAACCATGTGTGATTTCTGTGTGAATTCCCTCCCTTGAGAGTGGAAGGAGAGAACCACCATTCCAGGAATTAATGTTATCTGGGTTCTAGAACTCAATTCATTCCAAATATATCTTTCCCATTAAGAAACAGGAAATCTTATAGGCTTTGTTGCTTCTCTGCTAGATGGCCACTTGTTTAGCTTAAAGCCTTTAAAACCCCAGCCAGTATACCTTTTGATAGACGAGCACCATCAGCTTTGGGATGGGTCAACTAGGGCACAATACAGCACCCATGAAACATAATATGCCCCTGGTTCCTTGAGGCTTCTTCATCCCCCACTATCATGACCCCAGTGCTGCCTTTCACTGCAGCCTAGAGCAGAGCATGTGCACAAGCACAAATAAGAGATAAAAGTATAAATGGGCAGGAATGGGAGCAGCAATGCCAAGAGGGTAAGGTGGGAATAGGAGGGAAGAGGAGAACAATCACAATGATCACAGAGGCCCCGCCCCCCCAGGGGGCAAAAACAACCGGGGGTGGGGATACAGCAGTCAGTGTAAGACATGAAAATAATTTATCAAGGGGTCATGGGGAAGAGAGGCTGACACTAGACTCAGAAAATGTTTAGAAAATAGTGATCGCCAAACATACAAATATGCTTGATACACTGATGTATGGATTGTTAAAAGCTCTAAGAACCCCCAGTAAAATGACCTATTAAAAAAAAAGAAAACCAAACAATTGGCTCCAAGACCCCAAAGCTACACTTACAAACTAATTTTTCCAGGACTTTCAGTCACTATGGAGGGTTTTAGCCTTTTTATATCAGTCTGATAGCTATCACCGAGTTCTGATTTATCCAATACATTTTCAACCTCCTAAATGGTCTAGGCTGTTTCACAATTAACGATTTCACCTTTGGCCCCTTAACTTTTCCCTTAAAATTTTTGTAGCACTAACTTGGGACATATTGTATTCTGCTGCCAAATCAGACAAGTAGGGATCTTGTTCAAATTTTGCAACTTAACTCTATTGTGGCTTGCAATTTTCTTCCTCACTTTACTGCTGGTATCACTTTCTTTGGAGCCATGGCTCCATTTTATGCAAATGAAGTGGGAGACAAGCACAGTGTCAAATGTTTTAACAGCCTACACAAGCGTGATTGCTTAGTGGTGCTTAAGCCAAATCATGACCCATGTCCAGTGAGATGCAATGGCTCACTCTGATGTGCAGGATTTTTCAAGTCGCGTTTTTGGTTTGACCATCAGCAGTTATGAACAGATTTTTTTCTGAATTTTGCAGTTTCAGTAGCAGCAAGTTTGAGCTTGAAGCCATTCCACAACCTAGGTTATTCCTGTAAATTCCTGACAGAAACTGACAACCTCTTACATTGTTTTTCTGGTAAAGCCAGCCAGATCCAAGTATAAGAATGAATGTGGGCCAGCTGAAAATACACTGGTACTGGAGCTGGGCAGAGCCTGGCCCAACAGAATGGCAACTTCCTCCTTTAACTCACACACCAGACACCCAGTGTGAGACCTCTCCATGGAATGTACCTTTGAGATTCGGGTTAGGCCTTCAAAGTCCAAGCCAAACCCAAGGCTGTCCAATAAATCCCAACTCTACAGCATGCCTAATGGGACAAGCTACAAATAGCCTGTGTGGCTTCCAAGAGTAATCTCTATGGAAGCAGACTAGCCCATCTCTCTCCCAAAAAACTGATTGGATTGAGCAGACTTCTGGTTAGCAGAGGTGATTTAGCTCCATGCTACCAGGACTCCCATGCAGACCAGTAAAAGGAGAAGTCAAAGCTATGAGCTAATAGCCATTCTTCATGCCTTTGAACCATTATCTACTGGTCAAATGGCACCAAACTATAGCTAAAAGCAGACTATTGCTGTCCTTTCTTGTCAATATGGAAAACACTTTTGCCTTGAGCGTGATGTCACAAATAGAAACTGAACTTCTCCAGAAGACATCTGGCACCATAGAAAGAGCCAATCAAAAATCCCATCTGAAATAAGCAGGAAATAGTGAGCGAAAAGCACTTGGCTATATAACAGGAAAATGTGGATGACAGCTAGCTGGCCACCTTGAAGAGACCCATATTGGTGCCCTCTCTAAAGAAAGGCGACCCAACAGAATGCCCTAACTATTGCACCCAAGTAAAATTGTTCTGATCATCCAGAAATGATCCCAGCGGTACATTGAGAGGGAACTGCCATTAGTTCAGACCAGATTCAGAACAGGGCATGAAACAGGATATCACTGCTGTCGGGTGGATCTTGCTCCAAGCAGAGAATATCAGAGAGATGTATGTATTGACTATGAAAAGGACTTGAACCGTGTGGACTATGGAACCTTAAGAATGGGGATTCCAGAGAACATTTACACATGGGTCAAGGGGCAGTTATGTGAACAGAACAAGGGAACATTGCATAGCTTAAAATCAGGAAAGGTGTGTACCAGAGTTTTATTTTTATCCTCCTCACCAATTTTATTCAAATCTGTATGCTGAGCAAATCATCAGAGAAACTTTATTATATGAAGAATGCAGCATCAGATGTGGAGTAAGGTTTCTAACAACCTGTGAAATGCAGGAAACACCTTCCTTGCTCTAAGTGAGGACTTGAAGCACTTGCGACGAAGGATTGCAACCTTCAGTGTGGGTTGACTCAAAATTCTCAGGCGAACATCTATGACTGACATGATAAATGGAGAAAAAACCAGTCGATTTTTTTTTTCTTGGATCTACAATCAAAATTCATGGAAGAGGCAATCAGGGATCAAAGGATTTGCATTGGGTAAATCTGTGGCACAAGACACAGGTAGTACTCAAAAAGGTAGGACCTTTTGAGCACTAAAATGTGGGAAACAGATTTCTCCCGTCATCTCCCCCAAATATGTTAGACTTAGGACACTGCTTGCAACTAATGGTAAATGATTGTCAAGTTATCTCCCTGAAGACTCCAGCCATCCAGAGCAAGGAGACATCATTGTCCCTCCCACAATAGGCAGGGCTCACTCCCTGCTGTTAGCGCCAGCGGATTGCTTCCCCTGAAAGCTTAGGCTAAATATTCTCTACCCTAAGGCAATCAAGGTTAGGCCACCATCATGAAACTAGGGTCTACCCTTCTTGTCACGTGTACTCTTATTCCCTCCTCTTCCTATAGCATGTGTACCCCTAGATCACCCTCTCCCATTACTGTATTACCTACAGCACAACCCTTTCCTGTGATGGATGTCTTCACCTGTAATGTGTTCCCTTGCATAATCCATTTCCCTTATAACCTCCTCCATCCATTGAAGGAGCCAGCAACCTCACCCCATCCCCACACCTCCTCTAAGATTGTTCTCATTACTGAACTGCATCCTCCAAACGGCAAAGCTGCAAGAAATAAATCTATTTAAACAAAAAGGATCTCTGTTCTGAAGCATGGCCAGTGCTCCTTAAGAGCAAGGATGGTGAGATTTTTGCCTTACACACCATGTAAGAACGTGTTCAGACCAGTCCCTGGAGGATATCATGCTTGGTAATGTGGAAGGGCAGCAAAAAGACGAAGACCCTCAAAGAACTGGATTAACACTGGCTGTAACAATGGGCTCAATCATAAGAACAATCGGGAGGCTGCTGCAATTGTTTCAGGACAGGGCAGTGTTTCATTCTGCAGCGCAGTCACTATGGGTTGGAATCCACTCTATGTCAGTTGCATTTGTCTTAATCTTCTGAAAAGGTCAGTGAAATTCCTGAGCATATAGACCACTAATAACTCAATGGTCTGCATTCATAAGCTAAATGAACGTTCGTATCATGGTGGCATATATAAGGTATCAGATGAAACAGGAGTAAAGCATTGTGAAATGTTTATAGCTTCTAAGCCAGTACTTGTGCCTTAACTTCAGAAGCACCAAGCTGAGAGTAAAAGCTCAGCATTTCTTCTCGTTTAATCAGCAATATCCCCAGACCTGTGTCACAGTACTTAGTCACTCAAAGTTCTTAGGAGGCAAGTGGCATTCTTCAAAGTGTGCTATACTACCACACTGTTAGCATCTTCCAAATCATCCCACCCCAATTAACATATACCAAACTTGTTGAGTTTCATCCTCCTAAATTTCCCCATCAGAGTAATTTAACAATCATTTGAAGAGCTAAGGGGTTTTTCACTTATAAAGTGAAAGCAAATGCTTCAGGTTTTAAGAAACCTGCACGCTTATGATTAAAACAAAGCAGCTTCCTGTGGTATGTTTAACTGTGAAACTTCTTGAAAAGGCTTAATGGTCTATATAGGGCAAGAGCATCCATGTAACCAGATAACCTTCTGAACCCTCATGAGTGTTTCCAATACCCCATTAAGAAATAAAACTCTAATAAAATGATTTTGAAAAAAATTTTAAAAGAAAACCCAAAAATATTGTCACACTAGATTTTATCAAGTTTCTGACTAAGTTTCACCCAATACATACTATTTTGATACTATTTCAACTTCTGGGAGTGAGGTTCTCAGCACAAAATTCTAATACCACCCCCACTTCCATCCAATAAGATAAAATATTTCAAGTATTGTGCTGACTCCCAACTGTACCTTACATTCCTCAAAGTCAAAAAAGAACTAAGGATTTTCTGATGTCATGTGCTCAGTTGTAAGCTTAAAAGGGCTGTAGCAAGTGATCAGATTTCCACCATTCATCTTGGTGAGATGAGACTCAGGAACTCATCTCTGCTGACACCAACTATTCTTACCAATAGTCTACCAAAGCACAGCTATCCACTGTAGAACACAGCAAGACTGCAGGGCATTTGATAGCTACATAGCCTTAGTTCCTAGAACAGGAACCCAGGCCTGGAAAGAGGTCAGTTCAGCGCACTCAGCGAATGGATAAACTGAATCATCATTTCACAAGTCCATAAGCCCATTCCAACATGGGAGTCCAAAAGATAACTATTTTCAAGGAAAAAAAAGCTAATTACTAGATACCTGGATTAATCCCAAGAGAGTTCACAAGTCTTAAGTGTCTCAGCACAATATTCCTCCCCTCCCTTCAGTTCTGCTTATCTAGTTTCCAGGTACATATTGTCCAAGCAATCAAATGTCTAAATTATGTTCCCTATTTCATATGTTAAAGCTTAACCCATAGCAAACCTATGAACTATCGTGGAAATTACAAACCAAAGCAAATCAGAAAACTTAACCACAAATTATTTAAAAGTAAAATTCTAAACCATTTTCAGAAACCAAAAAGTTTTTTATGGTTACAGAATAATTTGTGCAAGATTTGGCCTGTTATTGTTTCACACTTGTGGGCTCTATTTTGGAGGAGTGTAAAGTCACTTATAGATTTGATTAAAATGTCAGACAGAATGTGAGAATACATTGGATTAGCACAAAGCAAAATGACTGTTTCATTAGTTCTTGCTTAAAATAAAACTGAAGAAAAAAATTCCATTAATCCTTTTTATTAAAGATAGGGACAGAGTTCCTGTCGTTACTTCACCCAGGAGACAGAAAACAGGTTCCATAATCCTTTGATTTTACTGAAGGACGCGGATGGCGGGAAGCCATTATAAAGCAGTATGGTCACCAGTTGCAATTAACTAAGACTGTGGCTTGAGGAAAATAATTTTAAACACTTCCCTAAAAAACGGATTGTGAACTAGGAAAACTACACGAAGGTTGCACCAAAGTAAAAGCTGCTGTCAAAACTTCTATGTGATGGCTACATTTTTGGAGGAAACTACTTTTAGATGTTTCCAGAAAGAATTGCATGAAGCTCCTATTGTGGGTTTAAAA